CAACAAAGGCAATGGCAACAGAAGCCACAATAGACAAATGGAATCTAATTAAACTTAAGAGCTTCTACACAGCAAAAGAAACAATCATTAGAGTGAACCAGCATCCAGTAGAATGGGAAAAAAATTTTGCAAGCTACTCACCCGACAAAGGGTTAATATCCAGAATCTACAAAGAACTAAAACAAATAGACAACGAAAAGCAAACAACTCCATCAATAAGTAGGTGAAAGATATTAACAGACAGTTTTCAAAAGAAGACATTTATACATCCAACAAACATGAAAATTGGTCATCATCACTGGTCATTCGAGAAATGCAAATCACAACCACAGTGAGATACCATCTCATGCTGGTTCAAATGATGATCATTAAAAAATGGGAAGAAAACAGATGCTGGAGAGGGTGTGGAGAAATAGAAATGTTTTTACACTGTTGGTGGGAGTATAAATCAGTTCAACCATAGTGGAAGACAGTGTGGTGATTCGGACCTAGAAATAGATATACCATTTGACCCAGCAATCTCATTACTGGGTATATACCCAAAGGATTATAAACAATTCTGTCATAAAGACACATGCACACGTATGTTCACTGTGGTACTGCTTAAAATAGCAAAGACTTGGACCCAACCCAAATGCCTATCAAAAATGCACTGGATAGACATGGTGGCACATATACGCCATTGAATACTTTGCAGCCAATCAAAAGGATGAGTTTATGTCCTTTGCAGGGACATGGATGAATCTGGAAACCATCATTCTCTGCAAACTGACACAAGAACAGAAAACCAAACACTGCATGTTCTCACTCATAAGTGGGCATTGCACAATGAGAACACATGGATACAGGGAGGGGAACATAACACACTGGTGTGTTTGGGGTGGGGGGCTAGGGGAAGGATAGCAAGGGGTGGGGATGTTGGGGAGGGATAACAGGAGAAATACCTAATGTAGGTGATGGGGGAATGGAGGCAGCAAACCACCATGGCATGTGTATACCTATGTAACAATCCTGCAGGATCTGCACATGTACCCCAGAACTTAAAGTATAATAAAAATATTTGATTAATTAATTAATTAAAAACAACATTGAGAGACAAAGTGAAAACCTTGAAGTGGCAAGAGAACAACTACAGTCATGTGTTGCCTAATGTGTCCTGAGAAATGTGTCGTTAGGCAACTTCATCATTATGCAAACATCATAGAGTATACTTACAGAAATCTCGGTGCTATAGCTTTCTACACATGTAGGCTGTATTGTATAGCTTATTGCTCCTAGACTATGAACTTATCTAGCATGCTACTGGACTGCATTCCACAGGCAATGATAACACAAGAGTAAGCAATTCTGTATCTAAACATAGAAAGATACAGTAAAAATACTGTATAAACTATTACAAATGGTAACCCTGTATATGGCACTTGCCATGACTAGAGCTTGTTAAGACTGAATGTTGCTCTGGGTGAGTCAGTGAGTAAGCAGTGAGTGAATGCAAAGGTCTAGGGAATTATTGTATACTACAGTAGACTTTGTAAACACCATATGTACACTTAGGCTACACTTAGGCTACATAAAATTTCTTTTTTAAAATCTCTTCTTAAAAATAACCTTGGCTTACTATAACTTTTTAACTTTATAAACTTTTTTATTTTTATTGTTTTGGTTTGGAGTTTTATAATAACATTTAACTTAAAACACAAACTTTTTAACAGTTGTACAAAAACATTTTCTTTTTCTCTATTCTTATTCAATAAGCTGCTTTCTGTTTAAAATTTTTAATTTGAAAACATTTTTGTTAAAAACTCAGACACAAGCACACGTTAGCCTAGCCCTACACAAGATCAGGCTCATCAATATCATCACTGTCATCCACCTCCACATCTTACCCCAGTGGAAAGTCTTCAGAGGAAATAATACACATGAAGCTTTCATCTCCTGTGATAACAATGCCTTATTCTGGAATACATGCTGATGGACTTGTCTGAGGCTGTTTTACAGTTAACATTTTTGTAAGTAGAAGTATACACACTCAAATTAAAGAAAAAAGTAAAGAAAATATATAAACCAGTAACATAGCTTTTTGTTATTATCATTGTGTTATGTACTGTACATAATTCTATGTGCTATATTTTTATATATCTGGCAGCAGAGTAGGTTTGTTTACACCAGCATCATCACAGGCATGTGAGTAATTTATTAAATTAAGATGTTACAATGGCTACAACATCACTAAGTGATAGAAATTTCCAGCTCCATTACAATTTTATGGAATCACCTTTTTATGTGTTGTTCAAACATCATTTTGTATGGTTACATAACTGTAACCATACAAAAGTTAATTCTAGTAAGATTAATAGGTGGCATAGCATCAGAAACTCTGCAGGCCAAGACAGGGCACAGTGGCTCAAGCTTGTAATCCCAGCACTTTGGGAGGCCACAGCAGGTGGATGACTTGAGGTCAGCAGTTCAAGACCAGCCTGGCACATGATGAAACCTACCAAAATACAAAATTAGCTGGGCATGGTGGTATGGGCCTGTAATCCCAGCTACTCAGGAGGCTGAGGCAGGAGAATCACTTGAACCCAGGAGGTGAAGATTGCAGTGAACTGAGATTGTGCCACTGCACTCCAGCATGGGCAATGAGTGAGGCTCTGTCTTGGGAAGACACACACACACACACACACACACACACACACACACACTACACACACGCACGCACGCACAAAACACCACCACCAAGAAACAAACTGTGGAGGCCAAAAGGCAGTGGGATGGCATTTTCAAAGGGATGAAAGAAGAAAATATCAACCAATAATCTTATGTTTGGCAAAATTATTTTTAAAAGTGAAACTCAAAAAGAATCTGAAATAAATAAAACTTTACAGAATGATTTGGTATCAGGCCATGTTATTAATAAGAAAGTTCTTAAGGCTGAAAACAAGTTTTGTATTGTAGTTTTTTCAACAAAATCATTAGTGAAATAATTATATTACATAATATATAAATGCATTTTTTTCTTCTCTTCACTGATTTAAAATGTAATTGTGTGGTTCCATATATAGATATATAAAATTGATCTGTAACTGTACTTTGGGACCTATTACATGATAGACATGTAACAGACATGCAATATATTTGACAATAGCAGCACAAAGGAAATGGGTGGGAGCAATAGTATGCTGGAGTAGGAAAATGACAATAGATGGTAACTCAAATCCACAGGAAATAATAAAAAGAACCAGAAATTATAAACAAGAATGTTCATATAACAAACATTATAAATATGTACTTGTTCTTCTTTCTTTTCTCAGTTCTTTAAAAGGCATAAAGTTATACAGAGAAATAATTGTAACAATGTCTTTTAATATTTATAGATATAACAACAGTACAAATGTCAGGAAGAGGAAATAGAAAATATAGCAGTAATGCTTGTATAGTTTACTGGAAATTCATTAGAATAAATCTGAAGTAGATTCTAAAAATGACTGTGGTGATGGTTTAACAACTCTGTAAATATATTAAAAACTCTTGAATTAGATGATTTTACAGGAGCAAATTGTATGATATATTACACTTATAAAAAAGAAAGCTCAATAAAATCCATGTGTAACCATTTTAAAAAGAGATGTAAAGTACTGGGAGGGTGTGATTAAGGAGAACTGTGGCCCTTACTAAAATACGTTTCTCTGGCACATATTTTTATATTCTTAGTGCTTAAACCTATGTGTCCTCAAATATTCATTACTTGTCTAAGAAACTTTTGCTTGCCTAATTCAAATGAATCAGCACTCCTTGCTTATACCAGTTAGGGAAATAACTAAAGAGTTTAAAATATGTCTGCTAATGTTCCCCAGTTTTTGTTGTTGTTGTTATTGTTGCTATAGGTCATCATCTCCACAAACTATTTTAATTAAAGTAATAACTTGTTCTCTTAATCTGATGCATCTTTTCATTTTGGAGATGATGCCCTAAATTGTTTCTACTTCTACATAGATTGTAATGGTGGTACATATGGGATGTAAAGGTCATTGTGTAGCCTTAACATTTATTCATAGTAAATTTTATTTTACCATTTCTCCAGAGAAAAACTTTATGATATCTGGGTCATTGCAGTTTTCACACTACAGTCACATGCTCTGCTAAGACCCAATTTCACCTACAAAACTTGAAGTCAACTAGATGACCCAGCTTCATCAATCCAAATTCTTTCATTTTTAATATGAATTTTCTATATCAATTTTTATTTTATTTTTCCTTCATTGACCCTAGTAGTAATTTCAAAACCAAGCAAAAAGTTCAAGTCATATTAAAACTCAAAGGGAAAGTGATCCAATTTCAATGTTGATACGAATGCAAATCTACCTATTTCTTCCTCTTCGTCTACAAAGTCTACAATCTAAATGGACCTGAGAGGGCATTTCTACCAGTCCACGATAATCACTGCTGTCATGTAATTTATAGTTACATGACATAAAAAGGGGCTAACATTCTTAGAAGAATCAGATAATTTTTCCCTGATGGTAACTTTCTGTGACTATAAAGACCATACTTTACAAGTTGACTTGTGAATAAAATCATATTTCACCTCATGAGGTATATCCATATAGAGTATGAATATGCTTAAAAATTATATTCATATCATAAATTCTCTAATATAATTTCAGTTTGCAGAAGAGGCAGCATTGTATGGAAAAAAGCACTGGTTAAGGAATAATGAACATCTATTTTGGTATAAGTTTTATAGTTAACCATGTGTCTCATTTTGTTCAAATCACTAAACTTCTCTAGGCGTACATAATTGCTAAGACTGCTTCCAATTCTAAGGCTTTGTGATTCTGCAGTCCAGATCTTTTTTTAACTAATTCATCTTCTTTAATAACTGATGCTAATTAAGTTATTACTATTCATACATACAAATATATCATAACATATACACAGACATAGACATATGTTACAATGTACCTTTCAAAGAATTTTGATAATCTGTTTTATTTTTGTAGAGGCTGTCCTAAAACGCTTGAAAGACATTAATGGAAAAGATATCATAAAGCAGCTAATGGACATACAATTAAAGAGTCATGCAGGTAAGGACAAGAATTTTTCAAGTCTCCTGTTGATGGCTTATTTAGCTTCTCTGAAGTTAAATTAAATATGGATCTTTGATGACAACTGTAGCTGTAAGTTATTATTACATGAGAAATGTCTTCCTGAATTTCCTCCTATAATTTATGTAACTCTAGTATTTGCTATAAGTGGAGCATTAGTTAGATATGATTAGTTTTAGAACTCATCCACTGGTAAAGTAATTCATAAAAACACAAGGCTGTTGTGAACTACATATGTGCTTGATGCTATTATTTCAAATGCTATACTTTAATTCAGTGGTGAGTTCAGGTCCTGAATATCTCTGATACAACTTTCTGTATCGATTATTTGTCTAATATTATCAGTGGGGTGTTAAAGTCTCCCACTATTATTGTGTCAAAGTCTAAGTCTCTTCGAAGATCTCTAAAAACTAGCTTTATGAATCTGGGTGTTCTTGTGTTAGATGTTTATATATTTGGGATAGTTAGATATTCTTGTTGAATTGAACCTTTACCCTTTTATAATGCGGCAGTGTTCACAATAGCAAAGATGTGAAATCGACCCAAATGCCCATCAGTAATAGACTAGATAAAGAAAATTTGCTACATATACACCATGGAATACTATGCAGCCATAAAAAAAGAAACAACATTATGTCCTTTACAGGGACATGGATAGAGCTGGAGGCCATTATCCTTAGCAAACTAACATGGGAACTGTAAACCAAATACTTCACATTCTCATGGGCATGTAGAGGGGGAACAACACACACTGGGGCCTTTTGGAGAGTGGAGGATGGAGGAAGGACAAGATCAGAAAAAATAACTAATGGGTACTAGGCTTAATACTTGGGTGATGAAATAATCTGTACAACAAATCCCCATGACACAAGTTTACCTATGTAACAAACTTGCACTTGGACCCCTGAACTTAAAATGAAAGTTGAAAAAAATGAAAACAAATGTTGTACTTATCATTTCATATTTCTGGCTTAGAGAGGAAAGTTGCCTTAAATTTGTAAAAGCATACAGACTAACTTATGAATGTGATAGTCCTTTTACTGGCTACCTATTCTCTGTATTTGATAAAAATGTAAGGTAAAATTATAATAGCTACAGTAAAGTTATTTAGTTGTGTTACACCATTCAGTGATTACAACACAGCTAAATTTAGTTCTGGAATAATAGTGTGAGGCATCTTTTTCCTTGATCTTTGGTGACATACTGAAAGAGGCAGGGAGCTTAGTAGAGAAATATGGGAAAGAGACAGTTAAAGAGAGCCTAACTAACACAGGAATAGGAAACCAAATCACTATCATTGGTGGCAGTGTGTGTACCAAAAGCAGTGATCCCAGAGGAACAATATTGGAAGCTTCTTGTGGTGGAGAAAGATACTGTAGTAAAATGCTCAAAAAAATTACTAAAAAGTAAACAGCAAGTTTTGAAATATAATGAGTAAATTAATATCTAGATGTTTCTATAATACATCTTCCAAAACATCCAGTTTTTATTTTAAAATTCATATAGAACAACAACAAACAAACAAAGAGCCTGAATACCCAAAGCAATCATAAGCAAAAAGAACAAACCTTGTGGTATCACATTACTTGACTTCAAACTATACTATAAGGCTATAGTAACCAAAACAATATGACACTGATACTAAAACAGACATGTAGACCAATGGAAAAGAAAAGAGAACCCAGAAGAAAGCCACACACCTACAGCTATCTGATATTTGACAGTAAACAAAAATAAGCAATGGTGAAAGGATTCCCTATGCAATAAATGGTACTGAGATAGCTGGCTAGCCATATGCAGATGAAACTGGACCCCTACCTTTTATCATATACAAAAAGTAACTTGGGATAGATTACAAATTTAAATATAAGACCTTAAACTATAAGAATCCTAGAAGAAAACTTAGGAAACACCATTCTGGGCATTGGCCTTGGGAAATAATTTATGACTAAGTTCTCAAAAGCAATTTGAATGAAACCAAAAATTGACAAGTGGGACCTAATTAAATGAAAGAGCTTCTGCACAGCAAAAGAAACTACTAACAGAGTAAACAGACAACCAACATAATGGGAGAAAATGTTCACAAACTATGGATATGACAAAGGTCTATATCCAGAATCTGTAAGGAACATAAACATCTCAGCAAGCAAAAAACAATCCCATCATAAAGTGAACAAAAGACTTGAGCAGACACTTCTCAGAAGAAGATATACAAGCTGCAAACAAACATGTAAAAATGTTCCATATCACTAATCATCAGAGAAATGCAAATCAAAACCACAGTGAGATACCATCTGACACCAATAAGAATGACTGTTACTTAAAAATCAAAAAACAACAGATGCTGGAAGGCTGTGGAGAAAAGGGAACACTTATACCCTATTGGTTGGAATGTACATTAGGTCAGCCACTGTGGAAAATAGTGTGGAGATTTCCCAAAGAACTCAGAACTACTATCCTATCCAGCAATCCCACTACTGGGTATGTATCTAAAAGAATATAAATGATTCTGCCAAAAAGACAGATGCACTTATATGTTCATTGCAACACTGTTCACAATCACAAAGACATGGAATCTACCTAAGTGTCCATCAGTGGTGGATAGGATAAAGAAAATATATTATGAAATACTATATAGCCATAAAAAAGGGTAAAATCTCCTTTGCAGCAACATGGGTGCAGCCAGAGGCCATTAACCTATGCAAATTAACCTGGGGACAGTAAACCAAATATAGTGTGTCCTCACTTACAAGTGGGTGGTAAGCATTAGGTAGATATGGACACAGAGATGATAACAATAGACACCGATGACTACTAATAGAGAGGTGGGGTTGGGGGCAGGAGGTGAAAAACTACCTATTGGGTACTATGCTCACTACCTTGGTGATAGGATTGATTATTCATATACCAAGCCTCAGCAACATGCAGTATGCCCAGGTAACAAGCCTGAACATGTGCCCCCGAATCCAAAAATGTTGAAATTTTAATATAAATACATTATAAATAAATAAAAATAAAATGTCCAGTTTTTAGTTTAAAATTATGAGCCATTCAAAGAAACAGTAAAGCATAACCCAAACACAGGGGGAAGAAAAGTAAGCAACAAAAAGTCTGTGGGAGTCCAAGATGTTAGACTTAGCACAGGCTACAAGGCAGTTATTATAAATAGGTTCAGATAATTCCAGGAAGCCATAATTAAAGCATAAAAATTGGTATGGTGACAATGTGTGTATTTTCTGCTCAGACTGCCAGAAGAAAATACTGCACTGGTGTCTTAAACATCAGAAATTGGTTTTCTCACAGTTCTGAAGGCTAAAAGTCCAAAATCAAAGTGCTGCCAAGGTTGATTTCTGATGTTGCCTCTGTTCCTGACTGGCAGACAGCTGCCCACCTACAAGGCCTCTTCTCTGTGAATGGGGATGGATAGAGAGAAAGCACACATGAGAGAGTGTACTCTCACGTGTCTCTCCCTCTTATAAAGACACCAGTACCATTGGAAAAGGGCTCCCACACTTTGACTTCAGTTACACTTAATTACCTCCTTAAAGTCTCTATCTTCAAATATATTTGCATTGGAGGTGAAAGCGTCAAATAAGAATTATGAGGAGACACAATTCAGTTCATAATCATGTGTCTTATCAATTAGACAAAGATAAATTACTTTCAAAGGGAATAAATGGGAATTCTAGACTTGAAAAGTACAATAATTTCAAAGAAAACTTCACTCGAGTGTGTAAATAGTAGATTTAAACTATCAGGAAAAGGAATCATGCCAGGCATGGTGGCTCATGCACCTGGGAGGCTGAGATGGGTGGATCTCCTGAGGTCAGGAGTTTAAAAATAGCCTGACCAACATTGTGAAACCCTGTCCCTACTAAAACTACAAAAATTAGCCTGGTGTGATAGCATGGCCCATGTCTGTAGTCTCAGTTACTCAGGAGGCTGAGGTGGGAGAATCGTGTGAACCCAGGAGGTGTAGGTTACAGTGAACCAAGATCGCACCACTGCACTCCAGCCTGGGCAACAGAGTGAGACTCCATCTCAAAAAAATAGAAAACAAAAAAACAAAAACAAAAACAAAACCTACATATAAAACAAAAACAAAAGCTTAAAGAATTAGAACAAATACAATAATAGAAACACTAGAAGGTAAACAGAGAGAGAAAAGAGCAAAAAGAATATTTGAAGAAACAATAATTGAAAATATTTAATGTATGAAAATCTACACATTTAAACTTAGTGAGACCCAACCATATTAAACACAAAGAAATCCACCAGAGACCCATTATATTATAAATGGTTGAAGAGAAAATCTTTAAAACAGGAAGAGAAAAACAAATCATCATGTAAAAGGGAGCCCAATCATATTAACACTAATTTAGCATCAGAAACTATGAAGTCCAGAAGTTATAGGATGGCGTATTCAAAGTGTTGAAAGAAACAGTCCATTAAGGATCTTATATTGAACAAAACTACCTTTTTAAAATTATGGTAAAATAAAGATAGTCCTAAATAAAAATTCTGAGATTTGTTGCTAGGTAACCTGCTTTATAAAAATAATAAAAATGGTCTTCTGGATGAAATTAAATAATCCCACACATTAATTAAAACCCATGCAGAAAAGAACATAAATAAAATAATTCTATAATCAGTGTGTCAAACTTCGGGATATATCAGAGAGAGAGAGAACTTGGCAGGACTTGTTACCCCAGGCTCTAGAATCCTGGGAAAGAGCTACCATGCAGCCCATGCCTGGTCAACTGGAGGACCATACTAGGGGAAAGGGGACAATCTGAGCCTCTGGCCTGCCATGCCCACAAGCATAACAAATGCTTCTGTTTAATGTGTGGATGTAATATTTGATCTATTTCAACAAGGCATTTGCATCTTGATATACTGTCTTAATTGCCAAAGTTCGTTTTAAGTCTTTAACTTTTACAGTAACTACCTTGGTCTTGTCATTAGATGGAAGAGGAACA